ATATATAAAAAAAAAAAAGAAATTACTAAATAATATTAATAAAATAATTAAAATTATAAAAGCATACTTAGCCTAAGTATACTATATACTACTCTTTTAAAAAAGAGTAAATTATAAAAATTTAATATAAAAATAAGTTAATTAGTAAAATAACTATACTAGTTAAAGAGTTATAAAAGGAAAAGGTTAAACAGGCTAGTAGCACTAGGCAGAAAAGCTTATTAGAGATTTAGTTATATTTAGGACTAGGTTTTTAGTTAAATAAAGCTTTATTAAGCTATAAAGGTTTTAAATATAAAGTCGGCCTTTTACAGCAGCCTGCCAGATTATATAACTTCCGACAACTCTATTAAATTATCTATCATAAAGACCACTTTCATCTTCGGCACCCTCGCCCTCGCCCTCCAATCTCAAGCCTGTATAACCTTTACAACGAAAGAAGATATCAAAGCGTAAAAGTATACCTGGGCCGTTTGGAAAGATGGCCAGAAGCAATGCCAGTTCAATGGCCAAGGAAGCAGGCCAAATAGCCTTTTTGGAGACATATACGACGAGGATTATTACGTCATCCTCAGCAACGACTTCCCAACACTGCACGGCCAAGTGTTCCAGTATGAGTATGGCAAGTTCAAGTGGAATCGTAAGTTCTATCTATACTCAAAATCTAGAAATGCAGGATGCTGACTATAATGTGTGCAAAGCTCAGGTTACGATGCAGCAGTTCGTAGACTTTGGGGATACACGACGAGCTTGTTTACATGGAGGGGTCAACTGTGCTGGAAAGCCGTGTAATCTCCCATGAATATTTATCGGCTGAGTTAAAGAAGAGAGCACAGGGTGTCTCAAGTTTGCGGGGTTAATCATTAGCCTAAAACATATCTTGAATACAATAACCAAGATTAGAAAGTATAGGCACACAGGACAAGGACTCTCTGTTTCAATCTTGACTCCTCTGACAGCCTAACCTTTGCGTTCCTCAGCACTGACAACCCACTGTCCAGCTAGCCTTTTACTATGCAGTCGAATTTGACAAGCTTTATATCGGTACTGATAGGGATGGGAATGCAGTTTATTTCAACACTGCAGCATCTAAGGTCATTAATGATTATTATCTTTGAGATTCTGTGCTGGCAGTTCAGTACCCGCTCCGCTTCTACAAGGTCATTGCGCTAAACATTTCCATCCATTCAAGAAAAGCGCCAGGGGAATAGTTGTTTCTTATCTTCTTGTCATCGCTGCCGCATGCTAAGTCCGTTTTGATGGGACTGTTACTATAAAGGGAGCTTAATACATAATCTGATTGAGAAAACACACTATCGAACAGAATGGAATTTACATTAAATACAGAACCTACTGCTCTCGGGTAAGTGGAGAGCCGATCATGCAGATCCATTGCGTAACCGAGGCTATAAGTGACAGACTAGTCCCAATTCAGCCGCGGATGCTATTATTCCGCTCCTGTTCTGGCTAGCAACTGCCCCCATCAAACTCCGTCGACGTTGTTTCCCCAGATTTTCAGAATCACCCCAGGTACGGAGCACAATACGCCGCACGCCGCATTTGTACCACGTGTGTGTGATGAGATTGGACCATACTCGTAAGACAAGCAATCTTGCCACTCCGCGACTCATACTTGCCATCTCCTCACGTCTAGGTTGGTAGAATTACCTTCACCTTTGCTCCCTCCAACTTGTGCAAGTCAAAAGGCCAACTGCTGGCCCGCATCTGAGCTCAACATGTTCTCCACCTGTAGGTTTGGTTGTCTTTGACCATGATACTCTGACTGACTATTGTGTTTCACAAGTCCAGGGCTTTTCTGAACCCTCGAGCTCGGGGACACTCAAAGAGTCAAAGCCTACGCGAGGTCTGCATGCATGCGGTAACTGCAAGCGGCGAAAGATACGCTGCGACGGCCGAAAGCCTTGTAACCAATGCGAGTCGAGGGATTTACAGGCAAGATGCGTTTACACCCAGCAGATTCAGCGTGTTGTGCCTTCAAAGAGGTCCGTTCTCAAATGAATTGAAAAGAGTCAGGCTCTCTATGAGAAAACTCTAACGATTGTGGCAGAACAGTAGAGACTTTGTCCAAAAGTCTTAAAGAACGCGATGCTATCTTGCTCCGGCTTTTCCCCAATCATAGTATTCCGCACTTGGCCTTGCTATCAGACCAGGAACTTCGTGAAGCCGTCTTGCATGGAAGGTCGACTGATAAAGTCTTACCTTCCCCTTCCGACAGCACCCCTCAAAGGTCTGTTACTCAAGACTCACAATGGGACGAAGAGCGACGTGAGCGAGATCCCTTGCCTGCTGAGGCTGATGATGTCAACGCATTGTCCCTGCCGTTTGACCGACAGGCATCGTATCTCGGCATTTCATCCATCAGAGCGGCGCTTGCAGCTATGCTCCAGGTTCGGCCTCAGTTACGTGGCTTGCTAGCCTCTCGCCAGGCAGGCATGAACAACAACATCGCCAGGAATGATGAGGTTCGACCTTGCTATCATCCCTCCAGGTCCTTGTTGGAACACCCTTGCATAAAATGGAACAGCAAGGGACAAGCACTAGTTGACGCATACTTCCAACGGATTCATATCTTTACCCCAATGCTCGATGAAACCTCATTTAGAATGAATTACCTTGGAAGCCAGCGTCAAGATTCGCCTTGGCTTGCTCTCTTAAATATGGTCTTGGCCATGGGAAGCATTGTATCTAGCAAGTCCAGTGATCGGGATCACTGCAAATACTACACCGAGGCCATGAGGCACCTCGACCTTAACGCTTTTGGCAGCAGTAGCATCGAAACGCTACAGGCTCTTGCTCTTGCTGGAGGCTATTATCTTCACTACATCAACCGGCCCAATAGAGGCAATGCTATTCTCGGTGCTGCCTTTCGGATGGCGAGTGCACTTGGCTTCCATCGAGAGTCTTCACAAAAGGACGGAGACGGCAATCAGTTTGAAGTAGTAGAAGTGAGGCGACGCACTTGGTGGTCTTTGGTCTGCCTGGACACTTGGACAACGACAACCCTCGGCCGTCCCTCTTTCGGTCGTTTCTCTCCTTCCATTGACATTCAACTCCCCAAGCTCGGGATCGACGGTGGCGAAGAAAACTTTCAGCAAGATATGGGAATGACAACACTTATTGAGAACATTCGCTTTTGCAGAATTGCAACTGAGATACAGGATAGCCTAGCTGTAACTCCTGTTCTCAATGCCACGGACCGCGATCGTTTCGATGAGGCACTGATCAATTGGCATAGTCAACTACCCTCTATCCTTTCAAAAGAGGGAGACTGTGATGAACCGGTTCATCTTGCTCGGTGCATTATGAGATGGCGATACTGGAACTTGCGCATGCTTCTGTATCGTCCAGCACTTTTGGATGCGACAACTAACCATCAAACGGACCAAGAGGTTGATCAAGACGCTATCGAGAATTGCCAACAGCTTTCAAAGATAGCCATTGAAGATATAGCCAAGACGTGGCTGAACCATCAGATGTCAGGATGGAACGCCGTATGGTTTCTTTACCAGGCCGCCATGATACCCCTACTGAGCATGCTGTGGAAGCCCCAGAGTGCTAGTGTTCCTGAGTGGCGTAACCAGGTCCACAAGGCTTTGGGGCTCTTTGAGGAGATGCAGAATTGGTCATTGACCGCACGTTGTAGTAAGGGAGTTGTGAGCCAAATCTTCGAAACAAGTTGCGATTTAATGCGCCAAGGAGAACAGTCTTGCCTTGAACAAGACATGAACGACAGTAAGTGTTTTGATCAGGGCGCAGATTTATGGGCAGATGGATTGGAGGTCGACGATGTATTGAATATGTTATGTCAAGATTGGTCATGGGATACAAATTGTACCTGGACTGAAGATGGGTTTGTCGATACATAATATCAGTAGTTAATAGTAAAAATACAGAAGTATATCTTTAATTGCAAAAACTAGAACTAAATACATATGTATATTATTATTTATAATATTAGTCTATTAACTAAAAATTAGTTACCCTAGATTTAGATTATTAGTTACTCTACGTTATAATAGCGTCCTTTCATCCCCCCCTAAGACTAGTTTATCAGTTGCTAAATAACGGGGATAACATTAAGGACAGAGTGTCTAGGCTATAGAGAAGGGTGAATATAGTCTCCTTATTAGTAACCTTAGCACTCATAGTTCATTTTGTTGGTGTAACTTTCTCTTTAGATAAATCAAGTCAGTAGTGGGAGCTGCAGAAGTGTTTTCTGCAAATATAGCAGGCTTAGTAGGAAACAAGATTTACAATTGTACTAGTCTAAGTCACTGTAACCACTCAGTCAAAAGTTTGCATAGCTTTCCATGCAGTATAAGGCCGTTCCACAATCATTTCCTTGACTGTGGGCAAGGCTGAGTGACCGTTCCCAAATAGAATACTTGATGCCATAATCTCGCGCCATCTCTTGCCAGGGGCAATCTTTCCCGAGATAGTGTTATGCACTAGGCTGTCACTATTGACAGGAACTAGAGCTGACCGCCCCAAGATGGCCTCCATGGCTTGCTGGGCAAAAGAAACTGCCTCCTTGGCATCCGATGGGACTCCAGTCTCATCCAGCGCCCGAATCTCTGTATCTGGAAGCTGGTCCTTGAGATATTTGATGATGGTCGGGTTTCGGGCACCACCGCCGCACATATAAATTTCTGCAATTTGATCCACGCTGATGCCGAAGCGAGGGAAGAATGTGCGGTATTGCTTGATGATATTCTGGGCCGTTATCCGAGTAATGGTTGCCAGAGTGTCATACTTATCGCATCCAGCAGCAAGACACTCATTAATTAGTTCTTGGCCTTCATTATCCCCAAATGTCTCCCGACCTGTGGTCTTGGGAGGAGCATGGTTACAATACTTGTTTGTAGCGAGGAACTTATCCACAATGTCCTGGCGCACAGTGCCTCTGGCGCTCCATTCGCCGTCTCTGTCGTATTCCATCTCGCTGTTGGTGAAATATCTCATAGCGTTGTCGATGAACATGTTGCCAGGGCCGCAGTCCCTAAAGATGTTAGTCACATTCATTAGGGTGATATATAGGTAGAGGATTACTCACCAGTCTACCATTGCGTCCACTCCACCCTCGGAATCAGGGGGGATGACACAAAGATTGGCAATTCCGCCAATATTCTGACAGACACGCCACCTGGTCGGGTGACGGAGCAGAAGGCCATCAATGAGAGCGACCAATGGGGCACCCTGTCTCCCCACGGCTTGCTCTGCCATTCGGAAGTCTGTCACAGTTGTGACACCGGTCATGGCACTAATAACTGTACCCTCCCCAAGGCAAAATGCAGAACGCGTCTCCCCTTCTTCCGGCATAGAGAGAAGCCAAATGGTCTGTCCATGTGATCCAATGAGGTCGATGCTGTCCATGGATATCTCATGCTTCTCGCAAAACTCTTTGACAGCATCACCAAACATCTGTCCAAGTTGCACATTCAGTTGCGACATTTTTGAGGGAGTCGTCTTGGTTTCCCGGAGCATCGTGAGAACGGGTTTCTTGATCCACTGAGGTACGGGCATCTCATCATACTAAGTATGTAGTCAGCACCGGACGAGAAAGTGAATAGTGCGAAGTGCAACATACTTTAATGAGCTCCATGTGAAGTGGGGCATTCGGAGACTCTTGGTGATATCGAACAAGTGCACAATCTATACCGTCCATGGCAGTGCCACTGTTCATCCCCAGGACGGTTAAGTCGAGCGCACCAGTGGTAGATGACTTAACAAGGCCATTTCCATTGGAGGAGTTACCGTTGGATCCATATGAGTGACCGTTGGTAGCGGGGCGGCTCAAATTCTGATGGGCTTGCGGTCGAGTCATGGTAAGATGATATGTTATGAAGCTTTTTCGAGACCTTAGCAATATCTGTGCGAGATAGAACACATAGAAAGATATTTTTGGTTCAGTATGTCAAAATTTGTTGAATAGCTTCAGAATACATTTACGGACATGACTGCACATTTAATATGATGTGTATTCGATGGTGCCTCGATACGAATCGCATTTGAAATCCCCGGTTGGGAAGTTCGTGACGATGAGTGATGAGCGAAGAGCAATAGTAACTAGTAAACTCCCCGAGGAGATGATCTTCTGTTGGTGACTAGCTTACCTCACAGAGAAATGACAACCTCTCCGCGAGTTCTTAGTATTAGCACTAATTTAGCCTCTCTCGCGTCGAAGTGCCGTTTTGGGCAATTCGTCTCGATGCTAAGCACGAGTCACAAACCTTGGGTATTTCCATGTTGTCTCCGCCAGTAAGCCTAACCAGAATCAAATTGTTGGAGAGTTGTCTAATCAATTGATAAAGCAAGTCCAGTAGAAAGGGCATATAAACCTATTTATTCTCGTAACAACACGTCCTTGAACTTCTTTTTCTGTCACTTGATAATAACAATAACAGACATTCAGCAAAAGAGCATGCATAAAGAAATGGCAATCCCTCGGTCCGTATGGACGTCCGACGATGGCAGCATGGCGCAAGAGACTGCCATGTCTCGCTGGCCGAAGCTTGTACAGGGCATGGTCGATGATGTCCGTGCAACCGGTGCCGAGCTTGCTACATCCCGTGCACTTGACGAAATTGACTCGATAGCGAGAAGTCTTGTGAGACTCAGAGAGGAAATTACTGGTGATGGTCAGCTTTGGTGAGTGCTCCTTATGATCTTCTCTGGTCGGTTCAGCACTAAACAAAGCTCAGCCCACTCGAAGACGATGGCTCGGCAGATATTGCGTCATATAACCAGCTTCTCCTCAATATGGGCAGGTTAACCTGGCTCAACTGTCCATGGTTGTATGGTGAATGCTACCTGTATCGGTTAGTTTTGGAGTTATTGTGTGCCGCCAAACGATGCTAACTTCTGTAGGCGCGTGCAGCTGTTATTTTCCATGTCATCTTCCTGGAAAGGGTATGATGTGTTCAAACGTCAAAAGGATTCTACCCTTGTCAGGTCGCAGATGGGCGTCCAGGAGCTGGCGAGCAGGGTCACTCAAGTGATTACAAATACGACAGAGCCACTCCGAAGCTTGGATGACGGTGCAGCAAGACTTGTATTTTCTGAAATGACAGAGATGGCTTTATGGGGAAACGCAACAGATTTGTCTCTTCTGACCAACCTCAGTCTGGAGGAAATTCAGAAGTTACAAGGAAGCGCAGCGATCGAGGAGAGTCAGCGGAATATTGTTGATAATGACACATTAGATGTGTGGCTTTATCTGCAAAAGAGTCGGTTGACTCAAGAGAATCGACATATGGACATCATTCTCGACAATGCTGGCTTTGAACTATTTGCAGACGTCCTCTACGCGGCATACCTCATTGCATCTGGACTCGGGACAAGCATCACTCTGCATGCAAAATGTTTTCCCTGGTTTGTCAGCGATGTAACACCAAGCGACATTGACTTCCTCTTCGACCATCTGCGGTCCATAGGCTTGAATTCTTTGGCCACTCAGATCGACAAGTATTTCGAACTCGGCTTATTGAGTATCGAGGTTCACTCGTTTTGGACGACACCTTGGTCATTTAACGACATGGTCGCTGTAGCACCCGATCTATTTCAGCGTTTCCAGGACAGCTATTTGACTATATGGAAAGGAGACTTGAATTATCGAAAGCTGACTAGAGACGGTCTCTGGCCACATACAACGACATTCAAGTCTTCACTTGGTCCACTCGGGCATCGAAGTGGTATCAAAGTTCTCGCGTTGAGAACAAACAAGTCCGACACTTGCGTTGGAATTGGAAGTGAGGAGGCTGTCAAGCGACTTGACCGGGAGGCACCCGAGATGGGGTGGGTCCGGGATGGGAAACATGCCGTTATATCATTCAGCGACGGGGTCTGAGACAAGTAATGTGCTACTGGCAGTTTGACCACTCTTCTCGCAAAATATTGATTATCCAGGCAGTTGGCCAGGCATGCGATGACTCGAGATCCTCAAGCATGCGTACCAGGCTTGTTTGCTCTCGCTTATCTGTCATCAAGGGACCCCCTTTCATAGATTAGACAGCTCTGAGTTTTGACAAGATGGTCCGACTTACAAATAAACGTGGAGTGACATAATGTGATGAGTGAGGGCACAGTTCCCGGCGAACCTTTGCATGCTCCACAGAGGGCTCGGGCATGCTCCATGACAGATTCCTTAGATGATGTCAATTGAGGTACGTTACTCTTATGACCATGAACTCACATCAGACTCTGGCAGATTCCGGCGGACATTTCGAATGGCAAATCGTGGAGATGGACGGTAGACCTTTAAAAGCATCCTAGCGAGATGGTAAAACCCAAATGCCATAACTGATCACCATCAGGTTCCGTGGGCCAATGGGAAATTGTTGAGGAATTTGTGCCTACCATGCCAATCTGCCGTAAACCAAATTTCTGGAAAGGGATCTGCTCCCAGCCCTGTTTCTCCAGACCATATTGGATCAAACGTGCCTGGTTTTGTCTTGTTCCAGTTCTCAACGGCCTCTGATAGCTCGTACCATCTTTGCATCCTTGTCGATGATTCTGGATACAAGACACTTCCACCAAAACAGAATTGCATCACCGTAGCGCAAATCCATGCCATGGTATTTGCCCAGGCGGTCTCTGCCTTGGCGTCGACAGCTTGTTGATGGATGACGGATGGCGGTGGTATCAACACCAAGTCGAAATTCAAGTTGGGTGGCTGCTGATTGATGCAAGCATTGTAAAAGGATTGTCTCACATAAACCCAAAACGCAGCTTGAGAGAGGGTAGGTGCCGAAGGATCAACCTGTTGTCCTTGAGATGCCTTGAGCAGAGCACTCAACCCAGCAAGATGTCTCTCCTCATCACCGCCAGTCACAGTTACTGCGGTATGGTTAGACAAGGAGAGCGACTGTTCAACGATACTTACCACTAAGTTGTTCGCAAACGCGCAATATGACTATGGCGCATAGGATAGTCTCATCGTGGGCAATGGTCTCGGTACTTAGCAAGGGAATGAGAAGCACTATGCACTTTTCTTGGAATTCATCTGCTAAATTGTTGTCACCTAAATGGCGTGCGGCATAAGAAATGATTGCATATAGAAGAATGGGTGAGCTCCTGGCCAGGACGGTCACATTGAGCATAAACTGTCGTGATGCATCTGTGCAGTCTAGCCACTGAGCCACGTGCGTGGAAAAGTGATGCAGATAGAAAGCCTCCTGGCGTTGAAGCGCAGGAGGGACAGGGGTCATCCTAGATACTCTTGTGGTTAAGTCACCACTGTACTGGTTTGGTGATTCATGTTGACTAAGGTCGAGGATTGAAGCCGCTGAAGTCGGCGACGTGAGAGTCTCGGGGCACCAAACGGAATCCGGCTGCTGTAGAGGATGGAGTGGTGGCGAGTCCCTTTCCGCCAAGGGAATATCTCGTTCCGGAGGATAGAAGGAATATTCACTAGGGGCTGAATCTTCCACATGCTTTGGCCGGTATTGCTTAATTTTGAGTCGAGGACTTGGATCGTCCCAGCGACACAGTTGATCCCTCTTGAGGCACTAGTTTCATTTAGCTCCGGTATCTTGTCGTTTGAACAATTGAACATACTACCCCGCAAGTCGGTCTCGTCTCATCACCTGTGAAGTCAGTACTACCAATTTCGTCCTGTCCTGGAGGCGTACATTTCACGCGACGTTTTCGGCACGTCAGGCTATTCCATGTCAATGATCAATCTGTAGCATTGGCTCACCCGACTTACCAGCCGTTACGAGATCGCAGCCGACCCATTTTCCTCAGGCTGTTGTTTGATTGTAGAAGCAAGGGATGATTTCGATACGAGAAGCAGGGAAAGGAATTCGAGACGAAAAAAAACAGAGATTCGAGACGAGGGATGTCGGGGGAGTGGAACTGCCCGTTGATGCTGAGTTTACTAGTGCAACATCCCCGCATCTATGCTCAATTTTTCTAGTTTAGTGTCATCATGGGAACATTACTGGCTAATGATTTATCATTATGTTGACAAAAAAACGGAGCCGCAAATTTAAAACTAACCTTTGTTAGTAGTTCGAGACGAGGAAACTGCTCACTAAGTTTCCTTGGCAAATTCTCCGCATCGCGCTGTGGCTAAATCCCCACGGGGTTGGAGTAGTCTAGAGTCCTAGACTCGCATCGCAATCTCTGGGGAGCAGAAATAGATAGATATAATGGGGACATCTTGATCATCACAAGAACCTTTCCAATCAGCGATATCGAAACCCAACCAATACTACCTTCACACAACTACACATATCATTGCATTGATCTTGCGACATTCATTCTTCAGCATCATGTGGAATCGCCAGAGCTGGAAGTCCATGTCCGGGCAGCAGTTGCTCAGGCTTGTTACCGCTGCCTCCGCCGTTGCAATCTCCTACGAAGGCATCAGTCAGGGCGTCATGGGCGCTGTGACTGTTTCACCGGAGTTCGGACGACGTATGGGATACACAAACGATGAAGACAAAGTCGTCAAACCCATGCTCCAGGGCGGTATTGCGGCCGTATATTACTTGTATGTGTCCCCTTAGTTTGACAAGAAACGGTAACTAATGCTACAAAGTGGCTCTCTTTTCGCGGCCTTTTGGGCTGGCAGCTTTTCCGACAACCACGGTCGTATCAAGGGTATGTGGATGGCATGCTTCTGGTGTATGGCCGGGGTTATCCTGCAAGCCTCTGCTGTTAACCTTGCACACATGCTTTGCGCACGATTCGTGGCTGGCATGGGTGTGGCTTTCATCCTCGTCATTGCGCCTATGTGGACGGCCGAGCTTTCTGCTGCCTCACACAGAGGTAAGCAAATCGCTCTCACATTCTTGGCCAACTTCTCTGGCATCGCCCTCGCAGCGTGGATCGGTTTCGGTACGTCCTTTACTGAGGCGGGCGGTGGACAGTTTCGCTGGCGGTTCGAGTTTTCGATTCAAATCATCCCCGTAATCGTCCTGGCGATACTGAGCCTATTGGTCCCGGAGTCCCCGCGATGGCTGGTCAAAGCCGGCAGGCGTGATGAAGCATTGGAAATTATTGCCAAGCTGCGGGGGGATGGTGACTCTCAACACCCTGATGCGCAAATGGAATATCGAGAGATTGTGACGGTAGTGGAAGAGGAGTCTCAGTTCGCCAAAACCAACTACTTCAATATGTTTTTCGGCATCGGATCCGGAGACATTCATCTTGGCCGCCGCATCCAGCTTGCCTTCTGGCTCCAGGTGCTCATGCAGTATGGCACTGGGATTGCAGCCGTGGTCATTTAGTGAGTTATTCTTCTTGGAAAAAATAAAAACAGGTTGCTAACGGCATCGTAGTTCTGGAACCATCTATCATACGGCCGGCTTTGATAATGTCAAGTCCGGTTGGCTGTCAGGTATACTGATGCTGGTTGGTATCTTGGGCACAGCCATTGCAGCCTTTACCATCGATAGGGTAGGTCGCCGAAGAACCCTTTACTGGGGTGCTGTAGCACTCGGTATTACCTTGTTCATCATCGGTGGTCTCTTTCGGGGATCCGTTAACAACCCAGACAAGGCTGTTCAGTATGGCACAGCAGCTTCAGCTATGGTTTTTATCTATCTCTTGATCTTTAGTTCTTCTTGGCTATTGATCCCCTTTATATATCCTACCGAAATCTTTCCTACCTGGCTTCGAGCCAAGGGAAACGCATTTGGCGTGGCCGGTTGGGCTGTAGGCTATGGTGGAGGTTCACTCTTGGTGCCTGTTATGTTTTCAGGTATCGACGAAAAGGTACGGACTCGCCTCAGCTACCCATGGATTTTTCATTTCTGACTAGACTTATAGACTTTCTACGTGTTTGGAGCGTAAGTATCCCTTGACATGCTCGAAACTAAAAGTGGCTGCTGACCTTTTTCTAGTGCCATGTTTGCATACATTCCCTTGGTGTACTGCTTCCTCCCCGAAACTGCCGGCCGTACATTGGAAGAAGTTGACTATCTCTTTGCTAGTAAGAGTCCGTTCACTTGGGATGAGGAGAAAGAATTCGCCAAGCGTACAGCTCTCTTGCGTGAAAGATTAAATGAAGGGAAGAACGGGAGCGACTCAATGGCACAGGATAAGTTGATTGAATCACACATCGAGGCTGTATGAACTATGTTCTTCATCGCCTTGTATGCGGCTGGAAGCTAACAAGCAAGGGCTCACACGTACTTATGTAGCCGCGAGATCGAGGTAGTGTTAAGAGCCGCGTTGGAGAATACATAGTGAGGCTACAGATAATTATTTTATAATCTATACATTATTACGAAATATAACGAGTTGCAGCTAGTTATTTATAGAACAATGCATGTCTATAGTAGGCATTAGACGCGCCTCGTTTCTTGGGCAAGGGGTCGTGTCAAAGGCATAAGCGTACGCTCATCAGCGCTGTTAGGCGTGATGAAGTCGATTCACATAATGCCATCTGGGCATAAGGTACCCAGCATTATATCAACAGTCTGTTATGTAAAATGAGAGTCTGACATCGAAGCAGTTTTAATAACCGCTTCGTGCTTAAGTGTACTAATAGCTTAAAGTAAAATCTGTAAAGAAATAATTATTTAAAATACAGATTAATAATTCTATATTATAAGCAAGGCAGCCCTAGCTTGAAATATAAGTAATACCAGGTCTTAACCCTTTAGTACCCTTAGTAATACTATATAAGGCTATAGTTATAAACTACTTAGCTTAAAAGCTAATAATATAAAGTATTTATTCTTTCCTTATATATATCCTTGCTTTTATATAATAACTATATAAGAACATTAATAGTAAAAAAATATTTATTTTTAAAGCTACTAGTCTAACCTTTAGTTTAGTAATAGTATAATATAGGCTACTAAATAAAGTAGTAGTCTTATTAATTAAAACAGGTAAGGCTATACTATACTACTAGTAGCTAGACTACTACTTTAGCATAGGCTAATTAAAAAGCACTATTTAACCCTAAGTAAGGCCTTAGCGTAGCTTAGTAAACTAAGGTACTTTTATAAATATAAAGGCAGGCTTAAAAGGAAAGGGAAAGTAAAAAGTAAAAAAGTTATTATTTAGCCTATAAAGGTAATAACTATAAAAAAATTAAACCCTAAGCCTTTATAGCTACTTTGCCTAGTATAGTATAATCTTTTTATAATCTTATTATAAGCACTGCTATAATAGGCCTAATAATAGCTTTCTTAAAAAGGGCTATAGTAGTCTTAGTATATATATTATTAGGGCTTATAGCTAGCTATATTAAACTATAGCTATAAGCTTAGCTAGTTATAAAATAAGCTAAAAAGGTAAAAAAGGAAAAAGAGAAAAAGGGTTAGTAAGTAGGCTATTAAGTATATAGGTAGGTATATAGGTAAGTAACTATATTATACTAATAATAGCCTTTTAAAGCTATAGCCTAAGGTTAGTAGCCTAGGCCTAGGCTATAGTTTAAAAAGTTATTAAGTAAAGGTATTTATACTTAAACCTAGGCTAAGGTAAAGGTAAAGGTAAAGGTAAAGGTAAAGATAAAGGTAAAGATTAATATATTAAATAACTTTTTTATACTAACTATATAAATAAAACTATTAATAAGCTAGTAAATAAAAGGAAGTTAATAAAGTATAAAACTAATAGCTTAATATACTAAATATAACT